GCTTATAGGAGATGGCCATGTGGAGGACTACACAGTCCTTGCTCTTTGGTGGAGTGAGTGGTACAGAATGGGCTGGGGTTGAGGTGCAAGGCCATGGTCTGCTTAGTGGGACATCCCTGCACCATGGGACACATTCACCACAGCCCCTACTCCCACTTTTTGCCCTCCTTAAGTAATCCTGAGTGTTTTTCCCTCAGAAGTACCTGCCTCATTTTGTTGAACAAAACCAACTTTCAGAACCTTGCTCCTGCTACTGCAACTAGACCTTGCAGTATACAGGGGCCATAAATCATACACTAATGCTGAGTATCCTAGAAAATACCTGAGCAATGAATTTTAAAACAGTTTAAATATGACCTGTCATTTTATTTCAGTACAATGTTTTCTTCCATTTAATTATTATTTGAAGGTGAACTCAGTGCCTATTTAAGGAAATGCATATGTAGGCATTTATGGTACCTTTCTCTCAGGCTATGGGACTCATGCAAAACAGTGGCTTGACAAAATTAGAATACTGAGTAAAAGGTATATAATGTAAAATTTTGCTATCATCAGCCTGCTTTCTCTGCTGACTTAGCAAGAGGGCTCTTTGGCAGCAAACCCTATGGTACATCTGAGAGCAGAGGTATCCATCCTACCTAAAATCCAGCATAGCCAAGGAGTCACATCCCTAGGCACAACAGGCTGCTCATGGGTCTTCTCAGGCCATATGGATGTTCTGGACGTACTAAGTACAGGTTTTTGACATGTTGGAAAACCATCTGAAACACCTGCTGGCAAGTTGCATAGCTGGCGCATCAGCTGGCACAGAGATCAGGGTGCTCAGTTTTGCTTTCCCCTTCAAGGTTTGAGAGATGGCTCCAGTATCTTAATTTTATACAGGGAGCCAGGGATTTATTTTTTCCTTTTATGTAAATAGCTTACTCCCTTCACAGACACTGACACACCAGTGAGCTTCAGAAATAGGATTACACACTGCAGGTCCCTCTCTCCCCCATCTCAGTTGCTTATTTACCAAACAACTCTCGTTAATCCTTTTTACTGTGTTTACTTCCCACTTCCTTCCAGTCTTGCTGTCTCATTATTATTCAGGTGCTTGGAGATGTTAAAAAAAGTTTAGGAGACATCCACCTCCAGAGCTGACTAAAATGAATCAAGCTCCACTGTTTGCTTTTGAATCTGCACTGATTTACACCAGATGAAGATTTGTTAGAGCTGCTGGCATTCATGGTGCACTTGCCCAAGTTCACAAATCATGTAATACCAAAATGATCCAGCTTCCTCCAGCCTGTGCTGGTTTATGAATTGTCCTTGGACCTCCTGCTTTTACTTCTTGGTGACAGTCTCCCAGGGAAAGCAAAAGAATGGCAGTTTTTTACAGATAGAGACATGGTAGAGAATATCTAGAGGCATTCCAGATTTTGAACCAGTTATTCGTCTGCTCTTGCTATATGTTACAGAAATCACTCATTGTGAGATCACTTCCCTTATCCACAAAATGAGCAGAAAAGTCCCACTGCTTGCAGTGGGTCTGAACCCTAGCCTGTGATTAAACCTGTCCTAGAAATCTACCAATGTCACAGACTGTGATTGCTGCCGGTGCTAAGTGGCAATACTTAAATTTTTTCTAATGTGCCATGGAAAAGTTTCTTAAGAGAAAATTTACATTTCTTTAAAGGAGGAAATACCCCTCTGTCACCAAGACCAGAGAATATAGCTGTTCCTCCAGTGCCAAACTGAGGGTGCTATCACCATGTGTGTAACCATGGTGCAGCACAACACATCACGTGTGATCTCCTCTGGTGCTTGATCTGTACGCAGTGTGCCAGTCATGCAGTTTCCAACACTGCAGACACCAGCATCACACATAGGAAATTCAGAGGCTGCTTTAAGAGCCTTCGAAGAATCATCCCATATATATGTTCCCAAGAGTTTAACCTGTCTAGCAGTTTTCTGAGTATTAAAACTGATTGATTGATACATTTTGGTATTAGTTGCTTCATGGACCAGAGAGATCAAATCCATCCACTGCCATGGATCTCAGCATTTCTTATGGCTAATTCATATTGGGAGAACCTGAGTATTTCCAGGGGAGATGTAGGGATGGAGACAGCAGCACGCTTGCTTCATTCTGGTAGTTACTTTATACAAAGAAGCACCAATCCACTAGGTTGTATTTTATCACAAAAAGCCTTAGTGCCTAAAATTGGTGATATGCTGAAGTTTTAGCTTTTCTAACGGAAAGCAAACCACCCCAGGAGAAACAGTTTTTATACAGATTGACTAAAAATACAGTTGAGTTATGATACCTCGAGGACAGTCACTCCCTCTCTTCCTGCCACAGAAAAGCAGATATGAGAGAGTTTGATTGGGTCTGGCCCTTTGAAACCAGTAAATGAGATTTTATCTTAAGCACAATAGGATTTTTCTTTTTCTTTCTACTTCAAATCTGATTCTTATGAAAGTGAGGGATTAATACAACAGAGCCAAGCTCTGTGCAAATAAATCTCTGCCCTCACTTTCCTACTAAAACATTTAACTCTTGCTACACCCTACAACCAGATGACTGCTGTTATTTCACTCTTCAGCATCTCTTCAGTGGAGGTGGGAGACAGATTTGTCAGAGATGCTGCAATGACGGAGGTCCCAATGCCAGCAGATGTGCAGGAATGAGGGCCCAGGAGGAGGACTGCAGAGGAGAGCTTGTCAGATGGGGGTGTGAGAAAGGGCAGGGCAGAGCACGGTTATGGATCCAGAGACTGGGAATACACTGGAGGGACTCTTGGCTTCAACACCACCCGGATTAATCCCCTTACTCTTTCTCTAGCCACCTCTACCTCTCAGCAAAAAATAGAGTGAAGGATTTCTCACACTAGCTAAAGCCAATTCAGCTCAACAATATGTGATAATACTCTGTGTCGAAGGCAGAGATGCTTCTCTTGTGAAGTGTCTTATCTTATTTCCCAGCATCTATCAATAGATATCTTTTACAGTGGATCAAGGAATCTGAACTACTGGGGAATGCTGCCAGGCACTTTAGGACATCTTTTTGGCAGAGCTGTTTTAGGAAGGACTCATTGATGAAAAGAAATGCTCTAGTTACTCTGTAAAAATATAGTTAATAAGATTTTCTTTCATAGCTGTCCATCCCACATCTGAACAGTTTTCAGCTTAGCACTGTGAACGTCAACAATAAGAAGATCTAAGAGGAATTTTCACTTTTCTCTGAGCCTAATGCCTGTTCAAGCAGCTGACTTGTACGTTGATATTCACACTGTTGACAAATAATGGGTGTCTTCATCAAGTATCAGTACTATTCTTCACTGGCACGAATCATGAGACTGTTATGTGATCTCCCAAAGCCTTTTCAAGGCAGCTCTAAATTTGTCTGTTTAAATTTCTTTTCTCTTCCTACCATCTAGCAGCCTCACAGCACGTTTGAAGAGCTCACTAGGCACAAGTTGCCCTCGAGAGTTACTGCTCCCATAGATATATTTTGCAGCCTTGGCAGAAATAATTCACAATTTGGCAGCAGACAGACAAATACAATAGCTGGTTTTGATACCAGTACAACTTTCCACATGGAATTGGGCCAATAAGCAGCCAATGGTAGATTAGGAGCTGCAAGTAAGAGAATTTGCACTGTGATACCAATCCGATTGGACTCCAATTTCAGTCCTCAATAGATGATTTTTTAAAAGTACAGTCTCTAGAATCAAAGCTCTCCAATTCTTCAAAACTAATAAGGATTCATTTTAGCTAAACTAGAATAGCAAAGATACTTACGTAAGTTTAATAAGAAATTAAATACAGACATTTGAATTCTCCCTTTTTGATGCTCTAGGATACACTATCCTTCAAATCCTGCACAAATTTTTCAGACAACCACAAAGCATGTGCAATGCTCCACCACAGTGATATCCTTGCTGAGGCTCATCACAAATCTTGCAATTGCTTTGCATGCAGGTAACATTTTTCATGAAAGGCATTTTCCTTTATTTTTTTTTTTTCCCCAAAATACCACTTAAAAATCACAAAGTTGAAAAAACTTTTTTTAAAATCATTTAATCCAAGCTGTGATTCAGATGTCACTGTAATATCTCATGAGAGTTATGGATTGCATATTGCATTCTCTACTGCACACTGGGTAACCTGGTTGTACTAACAACTCCTGCCCAAGACCCCCATGGTATAAAACAGTGACACCACGAAGCCACGACAGTGGGATGTTGTCAGAGCCATACTGAAACCAACAGAGGAGAAAAGAAACTCCATCCATTCAGGCTACAATTCCCACAAGTTACTTTCTTCTCTAAATCGATGCTTTGGACATACAGTTGGAGCCTTCATACAGAAATGTTCAAGTTTTGACTTTTTGCAACAGAAATATGAAATATTATTTGGGTGAAGAAATTATTCCCACTCCCATTTTCCTATGTAACTGAAGTCAATGCTTTTTAACTACCAGAAGCCTTTGCAAGTACATCTATTGCAAAGACAGTGAGCTGAAACAGTTACTACACATTGTATTGTACATAGGTTTCACATAGGCTTTTACATTAAAAGAGACAGATTTTGAATTTCATTCTGTAGTTTATAATTTTTGAAGGAAAAATAAATTAGAAATAGAGTCTCCAAATGAAAAACTATACAAATTACCCTAGAGTTTGAGTTAAAACAGCTTGCATCAATTTGAAATGCTACAATTAATGAGGGACCTATCGACATTCCAGCAACCTGCAGTAATTTGACTTTGGGGAAGTTCTTATTAATCTGAACATTGTGGCTCTATCCCATTTCCAGTTTTTCTGCTTCTCATGCCCATGACTGTGCATTGAACTTCACCCTTTACCCAGGCAGGATACGGTACATAAAGTGACTTTCCAATGAAAACACATGTTCACTACAGGATGCACTTTGCCTTTATGATGCCTTTAAACAAAACAAGGTGTCAGCCAAGTATTGCGTCAACCTTCGTGGGGTTGCGTTGTCCTAAGTACAGTAAAAGTATCTGGAGTCTTACCTTTTTATGGCTTTGTAGCAAATGATGACAACTACGAAGAGAAACACTAGTGTGGCACAGCATACCGCAACGATAATAACCAGGCCTGGCCACCAGGTCTCTTCAGTGGGACAAAAGGTAGACTTGGGAGCTGTAAAAAGAGTGTTGAAAAAATATATGAGTTCTCCCAAATGTCTAGTTTATAATCAGATACGCTTCAGTCACCCATGCAATAGCACTATGCCAGGGCCACAGATACATGCAAAGAGGTTATTTCGCATTTAGGACCAGTTTTTTTTCCAAGCAACCAAATCCTCTGGTACTAGATATTTCTTGTCATGGTCCCCAGATGACCAAGTTCTCTGTGTCAGTGTTGTCCACAGTGAAGGAGAAAGGCTCAGCTCTGCTACCCATGGGAAACCCCTTCTCCCTCTGGATTTGCCATCTCCTACTGCATCAGATTTAGTTTTAGAGATAAATGTTATGCTGGTAAGGGTAGGCTTTCAAACCCCATTAGGGGAGGTTTATCAGGGAGCCGCAGCAGGGCCTACCAATCAGCATTGCAGCTGCTATCATTGTAACCTTGGAGTGAGTAAAGGGGATTTATTTAGAACAGGAATTTTATTACATGTATTAATTGCTTTTAGAGGACTATAGTTGACAAGCTTCTTTCCTGTTACATTGTCTTTGAATTGTAAGGTCAATAGTTAAGCAATGTTAACATTAAGAAATGGTATCTCATGAAAATAAGCACTTATTATTACATTTTTCTTATTCAATTTAGGGCTAGAATTGTCTATGTAAGTACCACTCAAAACAAGTAATATTTTGCATCAGAAGGAATACTGTTGGCATTTAGTTAAAGTATTTTCCTTCAGGGCCATATTCCTTTTCCTGTGTTTTGAGGGGACACTTATTTGCTGAAGGATGGTGAGCAACAGACAATGTCACGAGCAGTACCAATGCATTGCAGAGAGGGAGGACACCCTTAACGCAATGTGTGCATCCACATAAACTCCATGAGAATTTGGATCATCTTAAATGAAGTTTAATAATGAATCAGTCAATGGGACTGTCTAAATCTACATGTTCAGTTAAGTAGGGGAGAGAATTAAATACAGAAAAAGGCACTTTTTTTAAGTCTAATTATTTGATCTGATATAGCCTATATTCTGAACTTCCTGTTATACACATCACAAATAGCTGCACAAGTTAAAATATGTCATCACACCTGCATCATTTATTGTGATCTGACATCTCCTGTGCCGCCTGTGTTTGATTAGGAAAAGACACACATATACTCTTAGGTTAACACTTATTAGGTTAAATCCTGAAGTACACAGTTAATGAGAGAAGATTTTTTTTCCGGTTGCATGATCTATAGAAGAATTGGCAACATTCACCCCAAGAAATCTGCAGGAGCACCTTAGAAAAAGACTAGGTAAAGAACTATAAGAAGAAATCAAAATAATAAAGCCAAAAGCTTGATAAATTATAGGCAGTTCAGCATTTGGTGCCACATAAGAGGTCCTATCTTTCTCACATGCATCAGCCCTCAACACTGATCATGCTATCACTATGATCATACTTGTCTAGCAAATATTGCCTTCAATTTATTGTACATATATTGAATGTCAGTGTGGGGTTTTTGTGTGTGTGTTTGGGTTTTTTTTTCCTACAAGAGAGAAAAATAAAGCTGAAAAATTAAGCGATTTGAAGAACTAGTGGTTGTTGGCTCCTCTTCTGACAATGTGTCCACTCCAAGACTATCTCAGCCCCTCTATTCCTACTTCATTACTCTGTCAGCTGCAGAAGTTAGTTTTCAGTGGATGGCGGAACTATTTCTTCTGTTGTGATAAAGCTAATGTTTTTAATAGTCTCTGAAAGTTTTCAATATTGTTATTTTCTAAGATTCCAGAACAGAAGGCATTTCAAAGATGACAAAATGTTTGCATGAACAGCCAACTCTACTCTCCTGGTGTTGTCCTGACAAACACAAAAGATTGCAGAAAACACATCCATCAGCAGATGCCATGTAAAATTAGATGAGATCATAAAAAATGGGGCAAGTACAGCTATCCTTGTGTAGTCCTTGTTCTTCCTCAAAGGCAGGATCAACCAAACTAGTTGTAAAGCAAAATGAGATCGTGAGACTGAGTTGCTCCTCAGCACAACAAATGAGACTGACAAATGGCAGAGACAGGATATAAAGCAAGGCTTGTCACAGGTCTGTACACCAATTGCTCCTTGATGGTTTATCACAGTATTTTTATATCAAGAATAAGCAGATATATGTGGGATTGAATAGTGAATATGACTCCTGACCGCCTATATATAGTTATTAATGACAGGAAAATAAGAATTTCTGATGTGGAGGAGACCCTTAATCCACCTGGCTCAGTTCCCTTCCCCACTGCTCCAGACCAGGCACTCAGAAAGAAGCATGAGAAACCACACTGGAAGCTATCAAAGCCTGTCTCTTAGTGGCTCTTAGTGGCTGGTGGGTTTATACAGCTTTAAAAATTATTTTCTATTTCTACCCCTTATTATTGCAGTGCTAGGTAATCTTGTTTTCCTTAGAAATGCCCACTCTTTTTCCAGTAAGTTCCTAGTTGCGTGCTCTTTTCTGCCTTTCTTAGTATGCATTCACATAGCGCTCATTACCGTGGCATTTCTGCATCCTTAATGCATTTCTCCTCACAATTATCCTCTGAGGAAGAGCAGAACTGCTTTTAATCTCCTTCTGCTGATGGGAAGCCCACGCCTGGCCCGCATGGATGCCTCTGTGTGCAGTTGGGAAAGCCAGCTGAGAGGGGAACTTCCCAAAGCGCCAGCAAGGCGCCTGAGAAGAACCATGTCCTCAGAGAGATGCCTCTTGGTGAGTCCCACACTGAGCTCTTGAAGTCAGAGAGGTGTTGATGTCTCTGTCCCCTTGGGCTGGGGCTCACCGCTCTGCTCCCTGGGGCAGCCCAGGTCTGGGGAGGCTCCCAGACCCCAGCTCATCGCCTGCAGTGTAGAAAAAACAGGTTGAACCTAGGAGGGTCTGAGCCTGTGTGCCCTCAATGATCAGAAGTTATCCTGGGGTGAGGACACCTGCAGCACTGTCTTGCAACTGTACCACTTTGCATGAAATAGTAATGCGTTTCTCAGGCACTCTCTGGAGGAGCGAAGACACGGGTCCCAACCCTTCCTCTAAGGAGATGCTGAAATTATTCTAAAAGACACAGAACAGAAGATGTCCCATACTACCTATAACAATGACAATGTCCAGTTGTTTCATTGTCTTACAAAACCTTTGACAAACTGCAGGAAAATACAATTCTCACGATCGCCGCCTCCTTTGTACTACCTCTTTCAAATCCATTATAAACCTCCTAAAGGTATACAGTTTCAGAACCAAATTGTGCCCTTTCCCTTGTTGCATAAAGAAACAACAAACCACGTACTGTTGTCATTCACAGAGGTGTATCTGGGGAATGAAGGACATCCCTGGACTCAGGGACTCCCTTTGTCATCACCGCAGGGCTACCAAGAGCTGAGGGCTGGCCAGCCCGGTCATGGCGTTTGCTCCTTCAGCACCCATCACCAGCCTCACGTGATCAGCTTCAGCTGCTCAGAACATGATTGCCTCCTGGTTTGACTCATTCCTGGCTGCTCTTCACTAGTCTCAAAATCAGATGAATGGAGAAAATGATTTTCACAGTGCAAAACAACTCAAGGAAAATTGCTTTTTGTCCTAAGCCCTGAAGTGTCGTTGTGCACATTGAACACACCGTTGGGTGGAAAGTGGTAGGAAAGTGATGACATTTTAAAGAAGATCAGCAGGGTGAGCTAAGCAATCACAGCCTGTCATCCTGACAGAAATTCTGCCAAAACAATGATCTCATTCAATTAATAAAATATTAAAATAAATAATTGATGCTAAACAGCACAGGTTCAGGAAAACACATCTTGTCAAACTAACTAGGTATTTTCAGAGGAGACTACTGGTTTGGTAAATAGATATGTTAATGATGGTGTGATAACTTTAGAGTTTGGCACGACATTTGACTTCATTTCACATGATGTTGGGGTTATGAAACTATGAAGCTACACAGTAAGTGTGGCACACATAAACTGAGTTAAAAGCCAGAGAACTGGTATGTCTAGAAATCCATAAATCTATAACTCTATAAAGTATAGATCTATGAATCTATAAACTATAAATGGAAAGCCATTGCTGAGAGAATGTGTTTTTTTTAACAGTGACTACTGCCTTCCCCCCAAAATAGGGTGATGGATACTGGTAGAGTTTGTAAATGACTTAAGAATGTACTCCAATACAAGTGGAGACTAAGTACATTTAGATTAGAAATAGAGTAATTATTATCATTAAAGGTAATTATCCATTACAATAGTCTATCAGCTCTGGTGGAGTATTTCACTGAAAAATTTAGTTTAAGGTAGACTTTTCATTTTTCTTAAAAGAAGTCTAAATTCAGCTAAAGATATTGGACTCAGAATAAGAATTAAATAACTAAAGAAAATGCTCTGTCTCTGGAAAGTCCACAGGAGCACATTGCCTTTTTTCTCTTGGCCTTAAAATTTATGAAGTACAAATGCTGGGTAAGTTTACTCTTAGAGGGCCTAAATAAATACAATGAATATACAGACCCATTTCAGACCTACAGTGGGTAGCTGGATCCAACTTATTGAAAACAAATTCATGAAAAAATACTTTTAGAGCAGAGGCATCCTGCACATTATTTCACACCACAAAAATCTTACACACTTGCTTTCTTTGACTAAATTTGTTATGAAGGGTCAGCATAAAGACATAGCCCCAGTTCTAATCTTAGCAGGTATCTGTATACGCATGGCTTTAGCCAGAAATGTGCATACCAGGAAAGATTAGCTCAGCTACAGAGGGTTTCCCTCAATGTCCAGGCACAAAAGTAGATGTTGTGTCACTGGAAAGGAAGTTTCCACAACATTACAAAGAAGTCTCTGACTTCCTTTTAGCGACTCTCAGAGTGGGTAACTCTCAAAAGTGCCCTGAGCTACCAAAACCAAAACATAGCGATGAAGCTGTTCTAATCTTCTGGATTAAGCATTAAATCCTTTTGTGTATGTTATAAAAATGACACATACTTGTACTGCCTGTGACAGAGT